TGTTTGAATCTTTTTTTACATTTTTATTAAAAACAAAATGTTTTCATTTATATCTGAATCAAAGTACATTTTATGCTTTTTATAATCGTGTCATTTTTAAACCAACGGGTAATGTGTATGTTTGAATCTTTTCACATTTTTATTAAAACCAAAATGCTTTCATTCGTATGTTTAAATAACCACATCATTTATATCTGATTGAAAGTACATTTTATGCTTTTGTTTTTTTCATTAAAACATAGTCTCATATTTTTCAACTCTTTTAATATGTTTTTTTCTTGTGTGTGTGTGTGTTTGAATAAAGTAAACATTTTTTAAAGCGTAGCGATTTTATTGAAATATATAATCACACAGACGTTAAAAGATCATTTTGTAATCATTTATTGATAAAATCACAACGGTAAACACAACTTTGCACGCCGTGTACAATATGACAGTAAGAATCTATCCGCAGCAAACTTTTTACATATTTTTTAACAGAGCGATCATTTTCTCGTAAATCGGTGGAATAAGAATTTAGAACCTGAGAAAACGTAAGACCCTTCATACGCTGTTTTAGAAAATACACGCAGTGATGACCGCAGGCGTCCGACCTATGGTCTTGAACTTGTCTAGCGTTACACAAAACTCGTCGTGAATTATTTTTTAGAAAAAGCATGATGTAACTGGGGAAAAATTCAGAGTCCGGCGGAAACCCGTAGGAATCAAAAAACTCTGCATTTCCATCTGACAGTATTAAAACAGCCAACCAATGCTGTCCTGGCAGGGTGTGAGGATGTGTATTCACAATAAAACAGGACGGAGGTGTGTGTTTTAACACCCGAGGTAGTTGATCGCAGGGGAATACGCCTCTGAAACCGAGGGTGCATCGCATGGCTTTAGCGATCTGTCTGGTGTCCATTTTTTTTAAAAAATAGTCCATAAGCACTTCACGTTTGTGATTAATTTCTAACACGTTGTCAAAAACCGCAAACACGATGATGTTTATGGTGTTGGGCAAAGGCGCTCGAAACCGGAGGTCCAGTCTAACGTGCCCCGACTGTATTAAGGAAACGTGTTCGCCCGAGCTTTCGTCGGGGGTCAAGTTGAACGCGAATAAACAGTAGCCCTGAGAAAAATCTTCACGAGAGATGGCCAAAGGCTGGTCCCTCAACCCTCTGTCCGTAGCCTCGACCAGGCTGAAGTATTCTCGCAGGCAGCGCTGCCTGGGAAAAAGGGGTCGAAAAGGCGTGGACGGGTAGGACACACCGTCCACGCTGAGATTTAAAGATTCCACGTCGTAATGATGAAAATTAAAAGGATTTCGCGCGTATGATCCGCTGAAAGCTTCGTTATGAACAAAACCTATAGCGATGAATTTTGGCACTTGGCCCAAAAATAGATTATCCTGGTTTGACACGCGACCCCCCGCCGGCACGCTTAACACTTTCACGTTAACTCGTTCTAATGGGTACCTCGCGTTAGACTGAAGCAAAGCTGACGCGTGCCCCAGTTTCACACTGGGTGACACGTGTATTCTTTTCACGTACAAAAGGGCCGTTAAAATGTGAAGTTTATAGCCCGGGTTCGGATCCGACGACATTAAAACAAACTCGTTTTTATTACGAACTAACTTGATTCTCACGTCGACGGAATTTAAAAGAAGCTTTTCCTGAAATGCAAAGTCGTTATGCAAATGTCCCATTAATTCGAACGTTCGGCTCCTTTCGCAATAAGCGCTTCGCCACGTTAACCCCTCATTGTCTCTGTTCGGGTCAGCTTCGTCCATGCGCCCCGCCGTGTCTTTGCGAAACAGCCCCGCTGCGAATTGCGAATTCAGAGTAGGTTCGGAATAGTTAAGCAAACACTCCAGAACGGCCCTGTAGGTGTACGTGGAACCGCTTTGAGAAATGAGCTTATCGCCGAGGGACAGGTCGACTTGGCTAAAAAGAGTGGCCGCGGGGTAATTGATCAAACCTACGGCCGCGCCGGCCGCCAGATCGGTTCCGTCCGCGTTGGTAACTTTGCACGTGAGGTACAAAAGCGAACGGTTCAGATCGACGTAGGTGTCCCCCGACCCCGCTATAAAAAATTCCAGGGGGCCGTTTTCGGTGATGGCCGTGATGGGTGGCGTTTCTACGTATTTGTAGGATTCTATACTGTGTTGCGTCATAGGGATCGTAAATAGGTCCAGCTCGGACTTCATGCATTCCGCCGAGGCGCTGTGTATGAGAGACATCTTTTAAAATATGTCGGGACCCGCACCGGTTTTCCGCTCGCTCTTTTTTTTCTTCCTATTCCTTAAACGAGAGGCGCGGACGAGCGCACCCGCCAGCTTCCTGTTCAGACTGAGACCTTTTGAAAAAACGCTTTTATTTTTAAAAGGTACGGAACCGCGACGCCCCGGTGGGCGCATGCGTCGATTCGCGCGGCTCAAAACCACCAGGCCTTCCCCCTCCTGCCGCCTTTCCGACGCGTTTCCCAGTAATTTCCCCGCCGCTGCGGAAACCACGTCTTTCGCGATATTTTTAGCAGCGGTCTTGAGGTGTGGTCTGACTAAGTTGAAGCCCGATTTTAGCAGAGGCACCGCCAGTCTAAACAAACCCCGAAAAACGTTGCCGATCCCTCTTCCGTACTGCACGGGCGCTCCGCTGAAACCTTCTAAACCGGACCCCGCCTGTCGCGTATAATAAAGGACGTAGGGGCTAGGGTCGGCGTGATAAGCAGACATTTTTTATCGGATCGGTCTAAAATGTAGCTTCACGATCACTTTTCCAAATTCGAATTTGACGTTTCGGTTTTGATCCGTCTTCAACTCTATTAAAATTTCATCAAACACGTGTTTGCTGACCGGGTTGTAGTGCACCTTGTCAAAGTTTAGCGTGACGAAATCCAGATGTGCTATGGGTATTTGAACGGTTCGCAAAAGAGGTGCTAAGGTATCGGCCACGATCTGATGTGAAGAAATATCTGAATAAAGAAACATATAAAACGTTCCGCCTTTAATATGGGCAGGGAATTTAGTTTCGGTCGGGTCAGTCCGCTTCTGTTCCTCGAAGCCCAGAATGTGCGCCAACTGTCCGTGCGTTCGAATCCGAATAGGCCATCTGTTCAGCGAGGTCAGTCGTATAATCTCCTCCGGTGTGACTCCTAATTTTACCCGTCTCGTGACCTTATCCAAATATAATTCGACGTGGGTTTTGGTGGTTCTAAAATATTTGTTCATTTCGGTCAAAATGTCAGCGATGTAAGTATAATAACCGCATTTTACTTTAAAAGCCACCTGTTTACTGAGATCCGGCCCTTCGCACACCCAAAAGTCCGTTTCCTGTCGCCCGCCGTCCGCCAGCGTGTACCAACTCTGAGGAAATTTCTGCTAAGCCGACCTCCCAACCGCCCCTGAGGTGAACGGTTTTGGCTAACTTCACCCTGTAGCTGGATATATCGTTTTGAGGGTATAATTTGTCGCTAGCGTTACTCGGCAGAGTGATGAAAAAATCTCTGGTTTCTTCCATGGTGGGGTGGTCCGCGCTTCCGAATAGGGGCTCGTGCCGCTCTCTCACGGGGTTTTTATCGAGCGTCCTGGATAGAATTTTCGTTTACCCAGGAGTCAATTTTTTTATCCCAACCTTTCCATCTCACCTTAACGAGAACCTCGGATTTAGTTTTTTTCCTAGCCAGTATTTTTTCTACGCGATAGACTTTATTTTCAGGTACAATAATTTTCTGCATTTCTTCTTCATAAAAAGAACCTTCTATTATTTCATTAACGAGGTCTTTTAGTTTATACATCGGCGGGTCTCGTTTAATAATTTTATCCACAAAAAAATATTCATCCGTGAAAGACTGTTCGTAACCTTTCGTGAAGACCCTGCGCTCTTTCGAAATCCGAACCGCGTCACCTATTTTAAACTTGGGTCGGGGTAATTCGCCTCTCATTCTTTTCCCGTACAGATGATGAAACACCTGTATCTGATTGCACTCGTTCACTTCTTCGGGACGCATTTGAATAGATCTGTGAAAAGCGCGATTGTAAGCGCTCACTAGTTCCTGAAGCACATCTAAATATCTCAAGGTGTTAAAACCTGTAAAATATCTGAACATCCGCGTTTTGAGGGTTTTGTTAAATCGCTCCACCACAGAGGCTTTCAATTCGCTAGCCGTAGTAAAATGTCTTATTTTATATTTGTTTAAAAGTTTCATAAATGATTGATTACAAAATTCTCGCCCCTTGTCACTTTGAAGGGTGACGGGTTTTCTACCTCGTAAAAGTATTTGTTCAAAGGCCTTCGTTACGCTCTTGGCGTTCTTATTTTCCAACGCCTTTTCACGAGGTGTGAAACACGTTAGGGTTTTTATATTTTCTTCTGGGTAAAACACGGTCTAAAATAAAATGTGGAGAAAACAAACTGATGACAGAAAACGACTTCAAAAGGTTTTTATGTTTTTTTATTTTTTTGTTTAAAGGTTTTTATGTGTTTTTTTTTATTTTTTTGTTAAAAACGGTTTATTTCTTTTATATTTTTTTTGGTTGTTAGTATCTAATCTACTGACAAACCGTTAGTTTGAGATATAGGTAAATTAGTTTCAAACTAAATGTGATGAATACTGAAGTATAAAATATGAAACTAAAAATGATTACACTATTAAATATATGAAAATGAAAAATGATTACACTTAAAATATGAAAAGAAAAGTGGTTACATGATTTAAAATATTAAAAAATATTAAAATGATTACACTTAAAATATGAAAAGAAAAATGGTTACATGATTTAAAATATTAAAAAAATATTAAAATGATTACACTTAAAATATGAAAAGAAAAATGGTTACATGATTTAAAATGATTACACTTAAAATATAAAAAGAAAAATGGTTACATGATTTAAAATATTAAAAAATTAAAATGATTACACTGTTAAAAATATTAAAATGATTACACTATTAAATATATAAAAATGAAAAATGATTACACTATTAAATATATGAAAATGAAAAATGGTTACATGATTTAAAATGATTACATGATTAAAATATTAAATGAAAATGATTACATGGTTTAAAATATTAAAATGAAAAGACTATACAGTTTGTCTAATAAACATGCACAAAAGGGGTTCAAAAAATATGTAAACTACTAGCAGCGATCAAAAGATGTCATAAAGGTGCTATAAACAATTACACAAACTCAAACGACTAAAATATTAAACGAAAAACGTGGTGTTTTTTAATAAAACAAAAAGGTCCCAGTTTTTTCTAATAATAATAATGTTTATGGTTTGTCTAATAAAAAAATATATACAATGTATAAACTTACTAGCAGCAAAAAAACATCGGTGTCATAAATGTCTTATGTACAAATACACAGTCTCTCTCTCTCTCTCTCTCTCTCTCTCTCTCTCTCTCTCGCGAATCACTACACCGATCTGTCATCCTCAGACCCCATCAGAATTTTACACACGTCGGCGGCCGTTGATTCCGCAGCGCTGTTCAGAGGTTCATCCGGCCGCATGTAAAACCGGCTCAGAATTTCGGACGGATCTCTGCTCAGGTACTCGGACAGCGGGTTATATTCACTCAATTTTTCCTGCGTCAGCGTGTAAATTCTACGCAAAATGTTTATTACAAAACCATCATGAGGTTCTTTTAATTCAAAGTGTTGCTTTAGAGACTCTTTTATTTCCAATTCACAAGCGGGAATGAGATTCAGCCACTTCTGCTTTAACTCGTTGTCCAGAAATCTTACGGGGACGCCTTCCACGCAACTGTGCTGTTTCTGTGATGGGTGTTCAATTTGACACCCAGCGCAATCTCTCGTAACCCATTGACGAACAGCCAGGATGATCGCTCTTGCCCAGATAAATTCCACAATTTTCGTGGCTCGGTCCTTCAGACTGAGGTCCGAAGGCTTCTCGCTCTGACTTTCCGAGCTGGCGCCGGCGTCAAGAGGTTCCTCGCATTGACCTTTTGACCCCGTTCCTGAGAAAGCGCTCGCGTTCTCTCTCTCACGCTGCTCGATGTCAGCCGGCGAAGAAGGTCGGCTTTGTAAGCCGTCCTCGTCCACCACGATAAATTCATCGCTGTCCAGATCGGTCACGCCGGAGACTTCCTCTTCCTCTTCTTCTACCTCGCTGGCGCTGGTCGAATCTGAAATGTCATTTTCACCGCTTTTTTTACGTTCCACGAGGTCTAGATCAGAACTCTCTTCTTCATCGTGCTCTGGCTGGTGAGTGGGGGAACACCCCCAATCTCTCCCGCTGGGCATGTCCTCGCACATGCGCATCGCCGTTTTGTCATCTTGGTATTTAGACATCAGACTCGTCGGGCGTGGAATATGACAGCTGTCGCAACCACATATTACGCTGGCTGGTGATAGAGAGAGAAAATCGTTAAAAGGTTTAACGGACTCGTACATGCTTACTCTTCGGCCACACGCTGCAACTTGAAACGGTGTAACCCTTTTCACGGCTTATATTCACAAACTACGGTACCTCAAACGGTCAAAATGAATTTTTAAGAAAAAAAGCGTTTTTCTTACCTGTCAGAACATGTTTGACCGCGTGATAAATATCCAGTAGTTCGCTCTCCCGCAAAGTTATTTCAATCAGCTGGACGTGCTCTTCTTTTTCAGTAGGGGCAAAATAAAAAATCCACTGGTCGTCATCGCTGGAGCACACGTTTTCGTGCCTTATCACAGGTGACGTGCACACTTCCAGTCGAACTCTGTAGGTAAACTCAGGGGTCTTGAGCCCTGTGATGGTCAGGGTGATTTGACGCAAATAATGCGCGGATCTGACCTTCAGTGTGATTGTGGCAGACCTGGACAGTTCGGTCTTGTGTTTTGTGTCGCGAACCATGCATGACCTGTTTCTGGCCTGTAAGATCATAGCATGCAATTCCCCCACTTCATTCGTTTTCGGGACGGTCTGGTTTAACAGGTACAACTCCTTTTCGGAAATAGAGACTTCAGTCGGCTTGTCACTGTGAAACAGTCTGCTCTGACGGAAAACGATGTAGCGATTGTTCAGCCGGGTTTCTTTCGGCAAAATTGTCAAATACGTCATCGAAAGACATCTCCTCTCTATGCTCGGTTTAAACAGACTGTCGTCCGCTCTGAATCTGTCGATTTCCTGCTTTTTCTTCTGCGAAGGTGTAACATCGTTTTCTTCCCGAATCGAACGGGGCCAGCAGTGTTTAGGTATGTCATTGCGAACGAAGGCCTTCCTCGCGCTCAAAATTTGACTGGTCCTCAGGGGTTCCTCCTTCAGTTTCAGTCGTTTTAGGCTGTTTGGCCACACGAAATAAGGTATTCCACGCTTTTGTAAGTTGTCCCGAATGAATGTGCGATAGCGTCTTTTGCTCAAGGAATTCAAGATCGGAGATCCGTCTTGAGCCTTAGACGATCTGTCTGGAGAATCCATGACGATGGTTTTGCAGAAAAGTCACTCTCCGCACCAATCTGTCTCTTTTACGGCCAGTTTTTATAGTATTGTGAGGAGAAAAACACCACGACACCTGTTCAATTATTAGTCACGCTTAGCAGAACGGGGGCCCCCCACTTGCTGCTGTCACTCAAAAACACAACAACAACAACTACGTCATACCATTACATCATGGGAATCTTTTTTTTCCAAAACACATCTTTTTTTCCAAAACACATCCTGGGAATCTTTTGAAAATTATTCCCACGCATCATACCGGGCAAACCTCGGGTAGTTATCAAAAAGCATTCACACACACACACACACACACACACACACACACACACACCATACCCCGACCCAACCACCCCATCCCACCCCACCCCACCACACCCCACCGACGGTAAGTCCTCGCATCTCATCCTTACTCTTAATTTTTCACACCCCTTTAAACTTTTACACAAAATTCACATCATTTTTTTCATTAACACTTCTCAAGAGGGGAAAATTTGCTCACGCTTGCCACCCCTCCCAACACGCACCCTGGGGAAAATTGAACATTTTATCACCGGAAAAAAAAATTCTTTACAACCTACAATAGTTGTTCACAGTTTTTACACACATCACCTCCTGGGAAAATTAGTTGCAATTTCGACATGTGACGTCATATAACTGATGTTTACATTTTACACACACCAACCCCTGGGAAATTTTTTTACATATTTCACATGTGATGTCATACCACTGATGTTTACATTTTTATACACATCAACCCCCTGGGAAAATACTTCACATATTTCACATGTGACGTCACGCATAACACATAAATCATTTTGACATTTACCGGGGTTAATAACTACTGACACACCTAAATCAAGCAAATACAAAGCATATTTTTTTCAGTGTATTTTTAATTTTGCAAGCTACAATATTTATACAATATGTGGTATTGAAATGTACTTCTCTATGAATCGCAGGTGTGCATGAAAGCTGTTTCCCGTCTTAAAAGTAAAGGCATGAAGGTTAGAGGTCGACATCGCTTCGTTGTTCTAGATGAAAGCTAATTCTCTCACAAAAGGAAGGTGATGTGTTATTTTACTAGATGTTTGATTCAGGTAATAGAGTTTTTTTCACATCAAATGCTGTTTGATTAGTGTTCTGTGATCTGGAAGAAAAAGGATTCACGATTAAAATCAGGGTTCGTACGGGTCCTGGAAAACTTAGGAAGGTAATGTAAAATAAAAACACCAAAATCCAGTACTGAATTATTTTTGAAAAATATTAAAATTGAAAAATATGCTTTAGCTTGAGTTATGAAAAATATTACCATTTTTCTGTAATCATTTTTATTTTATGAAATACGTTCATGCGTGTTAGTACATGATGTTAAACATTACCATTCTCTAGCAGGATGGTAACCCTACTCTGTAAACAATAACTTTACCGTACCTAAGGGCCGTTATACACCAAATGCCATTTTCAGACAGTGAAAATGTGCTCCGTTTGAACGACTGCCGTTGAAAGTCACTCTCTAATCAATCACAGTCGTGTCTGCTGTTGGCATGGCGACACACCAGATGTTGAATTGTTTTTCAGCAACTGGAACATAAAGGTTTAAAAACCTTTAAAAAAAGTTTAAAATGAATATAAACTTTAAAGATGTTGGGCATAAATAAAAATGCAAGATACCCTGACTAGCCACTTCTTTAGGTACACCTACCTTGTACTGGTACTTGTCCATTTTATCAGCTCCACTGAACATCTATGTGCGCTTTGTAGTTCTACAATTACAGACTGTAGTCCATCTGTTTCTCTGCTTTTTTAGCCCCCCTTTACCCCCTTGCATCAGTGGTCAGGACCCCTACAGAGCAGATATCATTTGGGTGATGGATCATTCTCAGCACTGCAGTTACATTAGCGTGGTGGTGGAGTGTTAGTTTGTGTGTGTGAGCTGCACATATTGGATCAGACACAGCAGTGCTGCTGCTTTAAACACCAGTTAACAGTGTCCTGTGTCCAGAAACTGAGCACCAACGAAGGACTAGAGGATGACCAACACAAACTATGCAGCTTCAGATAAAATATAATCAATAACTTTACATCTCCAAGGTGGACCAATAGGTTAGATGTGCCAAATAAAGTGGACAGTGAGTGGACACTCACACAAACTGTATGATCTACTCGTACCAGCACAACACACACTAACATACAGCTACCATGTCAGTGTCACTGCAGTGCTGTGAATGATCCACCATCCAAATAATACCTGCTCTGTGGGGGTCCTGACCACTGAAGAACACAGTAACAAAGTATGCAGAGAAACAGATGGACTACAGTCTGTAACTGCAGAACTACAAAGTAAAACTGACCAAAAGTGGTCAGTGGAGCTGATAAAGTGGACAATGTAAATACTAAGTAAGTGGACCTAATGAAGTGGCTTATAGACGTATACGATGTGGAGTCAGTGAATCAGTAGGTTGGCAAACAGTATTGTAGTTATCAGTACAATGGCGTAATCTATGTCTACATGACTTGTGTTTAATATTGAGGCTCCCTGGGTATCAAGCTGACCAGTACTTCACCAGTTTTATGTCAGTTGCAAATGTCAGTGTTATTTTGTGCACTCTTGCTTTTCTTTTTAGCTGTAAAAACGTGTCTGGTATTGCTACAGGTATGCATGAACACAGGCGTTGATATTGCCTGGTCAGGAAAAATGCAGAGCCTGTGACCTATGAGCTTTGACCTTGGAATTTGTTCTTGAATTTTTTCTTTTTCTTTTAAAAAACACCAGATCAGTGGTATTTTTACAAATTCACAAATATTTACCATTAATTTAAAAAATGTTTTATCCCTGAGCAGTATCTAATTTTTTGAATGATGTTTTTGTTAAACACACACAAGTCCTGCAAGCTCTATATACTTTAGCTGATTCAGTGAAACCAAACATTAAATAATATGAGTAACTCAACATCTGTTTATAATATACTGCTTCACCTAACGGCTCTCTGCTCACATAATGGGCACAAGTGAATGTGTGTTGTTATTGATGTATTTTTTTTTTTTAAATATTTTCATTTCAAAGCAGCACCTGACAGTTAATTTGGTAGTAAAGCATTACTTTGAAATTGTAAATGTAATAAATATACAATTAAAGTATTTCTATAAACGTGGCCCACAAAAACTTAATTTTGACTACCAGATACATTGAGGGCCCGAGTGCCCAATGTGAATTTCTTATTACCTGTCTGCCCCTGCAGGAAAGTACTGTGTGTTTACAATAGTTACTGTGGTTTTAATGCTGTAGAAATATAGTAAGATAACAGCAAAATGTCTTACAGTCCATTGCTGTATATTTACAGTTCTTTGCTCGCAACTAAGATACTATTAATTTACTGTAAATGTTACAGGATTTTTTTTACAGTGCACTACCTCTAAATAGATTTTTTCCTCCTTTAGTACAATCGAGGACAATTTGGCAACAACTGGCGTCGCAAACGGCAGTGGGTCTTCGGTATGCTGGAGGTCGGGACAACTACTAGAAGACCAGTCCTCAAACTTGTGGAGACACGCTCACGCCGTGTTCTTCTTCGTGTGATCAGACGCCATGTCAAACAAGGAAGGTACATAATGAGTGGCGAATGGCGTCCGTATAGGGGTCAGCTCAGTCAGTATGGATATCAGCATTTCTCTGTATGCCACAAAGACAATTTTGTTGATGCCAGGACAGACATACAAGGTGGACATATGGTGTCATAGGGGTCATCGCACATCCACACTGCTTAAGTACCACCTTAGATTGATTGAATGGCTTGGAAATAAACACGCTGAAGGTCTGTTGGGTAGACTGATCCATGATTTGAAAAAATTCCAATGATAGATGAAGGTTAGGATGATTTGTTCATTGGTGTCACTATTTGGATACTAACAGTCCTGTCTGGTTTCTCATTAAAGTCAGTTTTGCAACAGGTAACAACTGTAGAATGGACTCCGGCCTCACTTGAAGTGCTTTTATTGCAGATTTAAAGATGGAATGGTGTTAATTTATTTTTTTTTTTCAGCATGAAATGAGTACATTACTAATTAGAATTACTAATTACTAATAAATTTAATATTATTGAAATGTAATTTCAGTCATGTTACAACTGCAAGTGTCTGATGTATCTGGGGAAAGAAATCTGTAAATCTATACTAGTTTGGAAAAAAAAGAACAGATCTCAGAGCTGTGGTCATCAAAACTGTCCTGCTTGTAGAAACATTTTAATATTTTCTATACGAGACATTATAATTCTTACAATTAATACATCTTGTAATTAAAAATATTGAAATTAACGTTAATGTTGTCTCTGTAAAGTAATAACAGAAAATATCATTCAAAATAGAAATAAAAATTATCTTAAAAATTAAAAGACATCTTGTTCTTAAAATATTTGTAAGTATTTATTATAATCAGCACTGTGATAGTTCAGTATGAGAATAAGAATTACAGTGAAAGAGCTGCACTGAGAGTCTACTGTAAATAACAGATCTTTATACTGTTAAAATAAACTAGTAATTAAAGGCAAGTTGAGAGAAATTCACTGAAACATTTATACTTTTATTAGTGACACTTCAGAAATAGACGGTCGATTAAACTCTCCAAACACAGTAAACACTGATACTGTTAAATAAATAAAAACTAATAAATACTGAACATGATGTACAAAAGCATCAAATACATTGATTTTGCAGAATTTATTAACTGATTAATTATGAATAAGAAATAAAAAGCTACTTACGGCCAACTGACAGTTTGGTTCCTCCACCAAAAGTCCACCACAGTGATACAAACTCATTTAGTGTCTGTACAAAAACCTCCTGCTCTAAAGACTCTGCTCTCTCTGTGCTTTACTAACAGCTTTTTCATATCATTCATTAAATACTGATGTGTTTTATAATCAGCAGATAAATGTATAAATTCTGAAAACCTGAACTTTTGTTTCTTTACTTTTTTAAACTTTTTTGTTTGAACTGAGGTCACACATTATTATATGTGTTCTCAAATTGCTAATTTATTTATTAAACTGTGATATCGTTGTAAAATTTTTACATTTTTTGATTATTTAACTTGATTTTACTTTGACCTTTGGATTAAAATAACAAATTATTTCAAGAACAGAAAACAGTTGAAGAGCTGCTATGTAAAAAATCTTTTTGGTTCTGTTGAGCAACAAAAATTAACATGGATAAATGAACATATTGATTTCCTGCTAAAAGTGAGAAAAGTATTGTAATAAAATGTGTATTTTTTACTCCCTGCATGCAGTTTAGTTCCTCCACCAAAAACTCCTGCACTGAGAGACAGACTGACAGCAGTAGCTGCAAAATCCCTCAAGAGAAAGACTGATACACTTTAAACTGAACAATATGAGATCGCCCCCCACTGGACATTAAGAGAATATTACACTGATCTGGAAAGGCAGATTGCTGAGCTGTGAGAAGATCAACTGTGTCTTAAACAGTTTACAGTGTGTTCAGTTCAACACATTTCAGCAACAACAGAAGCTGATAAACAACACATATAAACATTTTCATGCTTCTGTCTGATATTCAGTAGCTCTAAACTGAACCATGAAGAACTCCTTCTGTTTCCATGCTGTTATACTCAATGTCACATGATCACTGCAGCCAATAGAGTCATTTCCATAGAGAGAGCTGACTTTGCATTATCAGCACATGCTTCAGTGCTCTGGGAGAGTTTATAGTCCTGTGAGTTTAACACTTCATGACTGAGAGCTGCTGCCCCACAAACTTCACCCACAGCAGACATGACTTTGACCACCATCTTCATCTGGACTCTGATCTTCTGGACTCAAGGTAGAACACTGTTATACATTTAACTTTACGAAGATGATTTATGAAAACATATTAACGCATATGCATTTGAGGGGCTTATTTTAAAAATAATATCTTGTGTATTTAATTATATTTATAATTATTTGTAATTTATGAGTCACCTTGAATTCTTATTATTTTATTTCAGAATCCAGAGGTCAGACGACTGTGACTCAGACTCCTGCAGTGAAATCTGCTCTTCCAGGAGAAACAGTCACCATCAGCTGTAGAACCAGCCCTGCAGTGCATGGTAGCTATCTAGCCTGGTATCTGCAGAAACCTGGAGAAGCTCCTAAACTCCTGATCTACACCACTAGCAGCAGAACATCAGATTGTCCAGCTCGTTTCAGTGGCAGTGGATCTGGGTCTGACTTCACTCTGACCATCAGTGGAGTCCAGACTGAAGATGATGGAGATTATTACTGTCTGGGTGAATTTTACATCAGTAGTAGATACTCGTTCACACAGTGATACAGAGCCGTACAAAAAGCTGTGAGAGTCAGAGACGCAGAGGCTGCACTGCTGCAGCTGAGACCTACTGCAGGTGCTGAGGGGGAGGATGTGATACAGCACAATCACACACTCTGTGGAGGAGAGGAAACACACCACACTAACACACAACTCAACACACACATCTATAAATAAGCACAAAGCAGTAATGCACACAGCATTTCAGCTCCACTTCTATGAGAGGAGTAGTTTAGTGGAGCTGGAGCTCATTTTACTCCTACTGTTCGTGTGTCAGTGGTGGAGGTTTCATCCTGCAAATGATCTGCAGCACAAAAGCTGCTTTGGTTTTTCTGCTACATGTTTCACTGTTGAAGCACCAGACAGTGTCCATCCCACTCTGTCCTGGTTACTGTCCACTGATGGAACAGATACAGTGGTGTAAGAGTGTCTGAGACAGTTTACCTGGTTTAACTCATTTAGTAATGTAGCTACCTGAGCTTTATCTCTGTAGTGATCAATAAACTAAGGTCGCCTAATTTGACAGCCTTTATACTGACATTTATAACATAATTTGTTATTCAAAAAATGATGTTAATCCCTGTAAACATTTTATTGACTTTGTCTTTATCTGTTTGACCTCAGCTGGGAGGAATGGTTGGCTTATACCTCCTTACAGAACTTTTCCAGCTCAGTGTGAACTTTATTACTGATCAGCTCCTGATTCTTTAACAGCTGAGACTTTCTCTCTAGGACAGTGGTGTCCAATCCCAGTCCTGGTGACCCTTTACTCTGCACATAGTTGTGTTTTACTGACTCCTCACAGCTGATTCAGACATTGAGGAGCTTCATAATTAGTTAATGAGTTGAATCAGGAGGGCCAGATGAGACAAAGCACAAAACTGTTCATAGTGTGGGGTGATCAGTGCTGGGGTTGGGAACAGCTGCTCTAGAACATGGTGCAGTTATTGGCTGATAAGAAGCAGATCAGACCTGAGGAAATAAAGCAATCTCAGACAGTATTAGACTCACCACTGTGAACCATCTGGTTTGAATCTGTGTCAGTTTTTGTCCCTACTATGTGTAGAGATACCAACAATGTGTTGTTCAGCAATTTTGAACTATTTACTACCATTTATGTTTATTATTATTATTATTATTATTATTAATATTATTATTGTTCACTGCACTAAAACAGGGGATTCAAACACTACAGCTTAGTGTATGAAACTCACAGCACTGTGACTCTGACACACTGACAGTCAGCTCAGGGTATTAAACTCACATCCTGGAGGGCAGCAGCACTAAAGGAAGAAGTGAAACCAGCCCCCCCACCACCACCCCCCACCCAGCAAAACAAACAGTTTAACCAATAAAATAGTGAAATAGAGACAGAGAGAGAGCGAGAGAGAGAGAGAGAGAGAGAGAGAGAGAGAGAGAGAGAGAGAGAGCGGAGTGGGGTGAAACTCAGATTTGCATTAACAGGCCTGAGTCGTCCACTTTCTCCCAGAATAGAGCAGCACTTTCAGCAGATGTTCAGCTTCGTTCAGCTAAACTCACTCAAGCACAACACACAGCACTGCACTGAATCTACAGCTACAGATACTCTCTCACAACACTGACTATTAAACAGAGTAAAAGAACAGACGATGTTCTAGATTCAGCTTTATTTCAGCTCAGCAGAACCACAGGAACAGCAACAGGACAGAGAACAGAGTAAAGACAGGAACATCAGCACTGTGTAGAGTTTAAACTCTACTGTAGATGATGTGGGAGCAGCTCTATGTTCAGCTCTATCTTGGAGCTGCTAATTTTCACAGTGGCTCTTTGTGAACGTGATTGGCTGATTGACGTTGTCATGGGAGACGATACAGCCAAACTCCTTCCCCTTTTCCCAAAGTGCTTTGCTGAGGGTCAGGATGCTGCTGCGGCTGTAGCGGCCATTCTTCTCTTCTTCTACACTGGTCAGAACCCCCTCCTTCACCTCCGAGCCGTCCACTGTCCAGCTGACCAGCGCCCCCTGTGGAGAGTATCCAGACAGCAGGCAGAGCAGTGACGCTGAACCCTCAGACAGCTGCAGAGAGGAGGGAGGGAGCAGAGACACAGAGGGCTTCACTGTGGAACCAGCTGGAGATGAGAAACAACAGCACACATGATTAAACACAAACAATTAAACATATTTACTAGTTATTCTTTATTAAACGTCCCAGCTGGAGCTCTAAAACCTAACCAGAGTGTGAACATCACTGCAGCGCTCTGTGCTGTTCTCACTTTGCTGAAATTAAATTGAAATATCTTTAAAATATCTATCATCTTCAATAAAACTGATAAACTCTAACAACAGTCATAAAACATTCCTCACTTTAACAGAGCTATTAATAAAAGTTACAGCTTTTGTTGAGTTCATACAGGATCATTAACCCAAAGTCTGACTTCAAATTTTACTCTTTAACACAGTCAGTTTCAGTCAAAAGCAGCTGATTACAGAATGAAGACACAGATTAACAGACAGTAAATGGAATTTGAATAACCTTTCTTTTCCTATTCGCAAAAATAAAATAATTTAAGACCGTAATCTAAATGTGTAACTAGTTTTAATGATACGTTAAAGCCATTTTCATGAATTATGAGTTATGTCCTGAAATAGTAAAATTATTTGGATGTGATAGCTAATTGTATATTACTGCATTTTTAAAAGTCTAATATAATAATATGATTCTTTAAGTTCAGTAAACAATTTGATTGTATTATTTAGTTTTTAATAATTCATTTAATTAACACTACAATAAAAGAAGTAAAAACTCTTACTTTTCACAATGAGTTTAGTTCCTCCACCAAAAGTCCACCACAGTGATACATTCTAATGAAGCCATTGTACAAAAACCTCTGATACACTACAGCAACCACAACACACACACACACACACACACACACAGACACACACACAGACATACACACATACTCGGGATCAGCTTTATAAAAGTGTATAATCTAAAATTATTTCTCTCATTCCACTGACCTTATCTGAGTCTGATTCTTCATTTAAAAAAGAACAGTTTACAGTGTTTACATCTCTGTCGTTTTATTAAACTCTGAATATGTTCCTCTGTGGTTCCTTCTAAACTTGTTCATCACTCGTTCATAAATTATTTATCACTTTGGATCCATTTGCATGTGCTGTTTTATCTCCTGCTAAGATGGAAAACTTCACCTGGATGTCCCAATAAGCCCACCTGGAAGAGATTATCATGAATAATCTACCATCAGATGCCTCATCAACTCCTAACATGATCTCTAATCAGCCTCATGAACTGCCCAATCTGGAAACTGCATTTCTTTAAACACTGAACGTTAAGACAACTTAAATAATTAGAATCAGTTTCTTTAAAATATCTAACAATTAAAAATCTCACAAAACACAAATCATATTAAATAGTTTATTATCATCTGTAATCTGGTGTAAAGACAGTTCAGGTGGAGTCATTTCCATAGAGAGAGCTGACTTTGCATTATCAGCACATGCTTCAGTGCTCTGGGAGAGTTTATAGTCCTGTGAGTTTAACACTTCATGACTGAGAGCTGCTGCCCCACAAACTTCACCCACAGCAGACATGACTTTGACCACCATCTTCATCTGGACTCTGATCTTCTGGACTCGAGGTAGAACACTGTTATACATTAATACTGTTATACAGTGTATGAGTGGCTGATACTAAAAATAATATCATATGTATTTGAGTCACTTTGGATTGTTACCAATTATTTCAGGATCCAGAGGTCAGGCGACTGTGACTCAGACTCCTGCAGTGAAATCTGCTCTTCCAGGAGAAACAGTCACCATCAGCTGTAGAACCAGCACTGCAATTTATAGTAACCATTTCTCCTGGTACCTGCAGAAACCTGGAGAAGCTCCTAAACTCCTGATCTACTACACTAGCAGCTTACAGTCAGGAACTCCAGCTCGTTTTAGAGGTAGTGGATCTGGATCTGACTTCACTCTGACCATCAGTGGAGTCCAGACTGAAGATGATGGAGATTATTACTGTCAGGGTCAGTTTTACATCAGTAGTAGATACTCGTTCACACAGTGATACAGAGCCATACAAAAAGCTGTGAGAGTCACAGAGGCTGCACTGCTGCAGCTGAGACCTACTGCAGGTGCTGAGGGGGAGGATGTGATACAGCACAATCACACACTCTGTGGAGGAGAGGAAACACACCACACTAACACACAACTCAACACACACATCTATAAAGAAGCACAAAGCAATAATGCACACAGCATTTCAGCTCCACTTCTATGAGAGGAGTAGTTCAGTGGAGCTGGAGCTCATTCTAGTCCTACTGTTCATGTGTTAGTGGTGTGCATGGATGTAGTGAAGGCTTTACATATGTACACTTAATTTACATGCCTTTATGAATTTGAAATGCTGTTTTTTCACCTTGTTTAATTTATTAACTTATATTTAGAGTTTAGAGTTCATTTTTGTGGGGATTTTCTTAAAGATGTACATTCACGTAGCTCGTTTTCACTGATCATGTTTTGTAGTGTTTAAATGTTCTGCCCTCTGCTCGTCCTCTCTCCATCTCCCAGTTTCATTCACAAAATATAAAAAGTGCCACAGAGATTTGAAACTAAACACATACAGAGAATTAAAATATGGTATCAGAATACATAACATAATTCTGTTCTACTAGAACAGAACATTTTCTCATGATCCTTAAAAAGAACCTGCACACGATACTCAACTCCTCCAGGACTGACAATCTAATAACCTGTCAACTACCAGTTTTAGTTCAGGGGGCTCTGCAGAGGACATTCAAGTTTCTGAGGGGGCTGGAGTCAAGCCCACCAAAGTGACATCACCGCACTAAGTGGACAATAAACCAAACTAGTTCAGAGTAGAGAACTGAAAACACATTGCAGTCTTTTAACTGACTTGGACTTTAGACTAAAATCATTTTCTGTTATGTTTATTTTTTATTATTATTCTATTTTGACACTAACAAAACAATCATAACTCTACAGAAACTTTAACAAATGTTTCAGTACTGACAATTTTAAATAGTTGCTCTACTGCATTTATGAGAGTGTCTCACTGCAGCTCACCTGCATTTTCCCAAATCACCTCAACTGTCTCCTCTCAATGTGGAGGAGTAGTGGCTCTATTTTAAGCTTCTCCAGGATGACTGAGCTCCTCACCCTGTCAAGTAGAGTGTAGCCCACCACCCTGTTAAGAAACTCATTTCCACTGCTTTTATCTGTGATCTTATTCTTTCAGTCACTATCCAAAGTTCATGACCACAGGTGAGGGTCAGGATGTAGACCGACTGGTAAACAGAGAGCTTTGTCTTATGGCTCAGCTCCCTCTTCATCACTACAGTCCGGTACAGTGACCGCATTACTGCTACCGCCTGTCCCAGCCTGCAGCCGATCTCACCATCCCTCTTCCCATCACTTGTGAACTAGACCTTGAGATACTTAAACTCCTCCACCTGGGGCAGGTCCTCCCACCTTACCTGGATTATTTCATAATTTATACTCTAAAAACTCTGAACATGGATGTAACCTAATACATTTGGTGTGCTTGTGCCTCTGGGTCTACTTTTTACATGCAGGGAGCTTTTTTCTATTCTAAAAGATTCTTATGTTCTGTTTGTATTTTTGTTTCTATAAGTTATTACAGCTACAGAACAGAGTCTGGGACTGATTCTGATGAGAAGAGGCAAGAAAAATGGCCAAGAAAATACAGTTACAGGCTGAGATGGACTGGTCCACATTAATGCCTTCTCCAAAAATGAGTCCCACTCTGAAACTTAATAATATTAAACTCAGCAGCACTAAAGGAAAAAGTGAAACCAGACCCCCGTACCAACCCCCACCCAGCTGAACACAAACAAGCAGTTTAACCAGTAACCAGGGGTGGCGCCAAAACCCCAAAAGTGGTGGAGCAAAACGTAAAAAAAAAAATAAAATAAAATAAAATAAAACAAACAAACACAAAAAGCCAGCTGTGTGGTATTTTATGCAATTATGCCACTGACTAAAATTACCTTTCATGTCTTGCTAATGTCAGGTCTTTATTCAGAGGTGGGTAGTAACTAGTTACATTTACACACGTACATCAGGTTCATATACTCAAATTTTACCCGGTTTTCTCCCCAATTTAGTCGTAGCCAATTCCACCCGCCGCTAGTTAGGACTCCCCCAATCACACACGACGCTATCAACGCTAGGAGGGCGAGGCTAACACAGGCTTCATCCAAGACCTGTGAAACCAGCCACCGCTTCTTCTTGAGCTGCCGCTCACGCAAAGTCATTGGACAGCTGAACGCGCTCGGAGGAAAGCGCCAACCGCCAGATCTGTTACGTCAGCTAACAGACGCCTGCGCTGACTAGCATCGCGCTTAGTGAGTGATGGTGGGAGAAAGGCAGCCATCCCACCCACCCAGAGAGAGCGAGGCCAATTGTGCTCTCTTGGACTCCCGGCTACGGATGGCTGTAGCATCACCAGGGATCGAACTCGTGATCTCCTGATGACAGGGCCAACACTTAGACGGTTGCGCCACTCCGGATCCTTTTTACTCAGTTACATTTTCATATTTTGTTACAAATTCCTTTTTTGTGTTTAACTTTAATGTGTTTTGATGGTGTCAGTAATTGTACTGCTTTGTGATTGGTTACATCTCTGACTTTGGACCAAGGAATCACAAAAAGAGAAGAACAGATCTGCATAATCTTCAGTTCCTGTGCTGACAAATCCTGGATATGGAGCTACAGAGACGTTCCACAGCAGAACTCAGTACTCAGTACTCAGTAGATTTCTGACCTGAAACTTTAGAATTTCACATTTTACGTTTACTTGTGTGATTATTTTATGCAAGTATCAATACTTTTACTTTCTCTCACTCTCTCTCTCTCTCTCTCTCTCTCTCTCTCTCTCTCTCTCTCTCACACACACACACACTTGGGACCAAAACAGTGTATAAACTTCATATATTTTTTCTGTCTTTTTGAGATTTTTAAATCTAAGAATTAAAAATCTCGCAAAACAGAAATCATTAAATAATCTATTATAGTATTATGGTCTGGTGTAATGACAGTTCAGGTAGAGTCATTTCCATAGAGAGAGCTGACTTTGCATTATCAGCACATGCTTCAGTGCTCTGGGAGAGTTTATAGTCCTGTGAGTTTAACACTTCATGACTGAGAGCTGCTGCCCCACAAACTTCACCCACAGCAGACATGACTTTGACCACCATCTTCATCTGGACTCTGATCTTCTGGACTCAAGGTAACTCACTGTTACACATTTAACTTCATGATGGTGTTTAATGGAGACATTTTAAAACAAGTGCATGTGAGGGGCTTGTTTTAAAATTAATAGTATCATGTGTATTTAATTATAAATATAATTATTTGTAATTCATGAGTCATCTTGAATTCTTGTTATATTATTTCAGGATCCAGAGGTCAGGCGACTGTGACTCAGACTCCTGCAGTGAAATCTGCTCTTCCAGGAGAAACAGTCACCATCAGCTGTAGAACCAGCACTGCAGTGTACAGTGACAGTCATGGTCAGCGTTTAGCCTGGTACCTGCAGAAACCTGGAGAAGCTCCTAAACTCCTGATTAAACTGATTAGCAGTAGAGAGTCAGGAACTCCAGCTCGTTTCAGTGGCAGTGGATCTGGATCTGACTTCACTCTGACCATCAGTGGAGTCCAGACTGAAGATGATGGAGATTATTACTGTCAAGGTGAATTTTACATCAGTAGTATCTGGTCGTTCACACAGTGATACAGAGCTGTACAAAAAGCTGTGAGAGTCAGAGACACAGAGGCTGCACTGCTGGATGTGATACAGCACAATCACACACTCTGTGGAGGAGAGGAAACACACCACACTAACACACAACTCAACACACACATCTATAAATAAGCACAAAGCAATAATGCACACAGTGCACCAGCTGGTTGAGTTTGTGTCACTTTCTTGTGTCGAAGATTTGGTGTGACCCCAAGAAATGTGATCTTCAGCATTTTGTGACCCAATATTACAACATCATTGAACAACAACAACAAAACATTTCTTATTTCAGTTTGATGAGCTCAGTTCACTGTAATGGATCCCATATAATCAGTTTATCCATTCTGTCTTCAGCCTCTAATTAGATTAAGATATTACCATCATTTTAAGATAAATTACAATGACTTCTGTGATCAACAGCATTAAATACTTGGAATAAAAAGGATCTCATGAGGACCAGACTGAGACAGGTGGTCCACAATCAGAGAACAAGTTTGAATCAGTCATCAGCAAATCCAGTGAAAAGTGAGTTTCAGTATCAGCTGTTTATGGGAGAATCTGTATATCTTTGGAAATACAAGATAAGAAGACGAAACAAGACCATCACATAAATGAGAGCTGGATGTGGGATGTTGCTCTTATGGAGTGATGAATGAGAATCTGACGTGTTTATATGTCACAGTAAAGGTGAGCACATGAGCTCTGCATGTGTGAGTCCCACCATAAGGCTTGGAGTAGGATGGAGTAGGAGTGAATTACTGATGAAAGAGCTGGAGATGTTTATCACATATCCACAGCATTTCCAGGGGGCCTGACCATCACAGAGGAGTGTCATTCTATCAGGACTATGAGTAGATGGGCTTTTCTTCAATCTACAGGAAAGAAAAAACTCAAAATCTTCCTCAGCTGGAACAGAAATATCTGAGAAAAATGGTCAACTGAGCCTTTAGATTTCAGCATCACTGGGCTTGTGGGGGTCAAACTGGATTGAAAAGGAAAGCAAAGCAATCTTTCAGGACTGCGTGCAGCATGAAGGATGAACATCTCCTTTACTGGCAGCACATGTATAAAAATGTAAAAGTGTTTATTTTGACTAATTTATTAGTAATAAATATATTAAAAATATTGTCTCAGACAGGAAATACATATTATTTGCATCCATGACTGAATTGCAAATAATTTGCATACATAAAATTATTAAATATATTTTTTGTAAATAAAATTCATTTACAATAACAATGCAAATAATTTGCATACATATACATAAAGATCCAACCTGCCTAAAGCTGCAGTCACACCGAACACGAGTAAAATCTGCCCTGAGGATAAAATCAATTCACTTGAATGCAAAAGACGTGAGCACAGAAAATCAATTCACCTCAGTTAGAGTTAAATTTCATTTCCTGCTGAGTTCATCTGGGTGACCTTGATTTCCAAGCAATTAAAATACGAGAAGGTGAGCTGTGGTCCCTTCTCTCTGTCTACATAATGTCGCTTGTCACTAACAGTTTCAATAATATAAACTAGTTACTCAGCTAACATTTACTGAACTATATTTTCCCTCCAAAACCATCAGTACCGTCTCTACTCTCCTGACTTTTGCTCCACACTGCAAAGAAAACACTGAGGCAGCAGTGCAGTGTGACCACAGCTTATTCTACCATTTACTGTGTCTACTGTAATTACATACTACAAATATTAAACAGGATAAGACAAATAAAAATACTATAAATAATATGAAACGTTCACTACATGATACTATAAATTACACAGCAGTTTGATGAATATTATAGTTAAAGTGATTAAACATATTTCTGAAAAAATCTTGAAGGTTGATTGGTTTGGTTGATTCGGATCAACAGTATGACTTTCTAAAACTTTATCATTGTCATCATCAGACATGGCTGGAAATATTTGCCTCCACATTAGATTTTAATGACATTTAAGGTGTTTATTATGGTGGGAAAATGCAATAAAATAACCACTACAGTGTTGATTGAAACTCTTTATTTTATTTCTTTAAATTCAACAGATCATCATTTCAGCATTAATCACAGACGTGTTTGAGCTCATTTGAGAGTGAGAGGAGCTCTATCAGCTGAAACCCCCGTGTGGTCCTCACTGCTTAGCACTGATCTCTCCTCAGTGTCTGGCTGACAGGAGGCTGGGAGTCCTTGTTGGCCTCACAGGTCACTGTGTTCTTTAGCCACTGCTCCTCCTGGAGGGTCAGGGTGCTGCTCCAGCTGTAGAGGCCGTCGTCCTTCTGCAGAAGCCCAGGGCTCTGGCTAACCCCCGAGCTCCAGCTGCTCCCACCCACCTTCCAGCTCAGCCTCCAGTCTGAGGACACACGAGTGTGGCCTTCCCCTGCAGCAGCCCCTCCCTGGAGGGGGGCAGGACAGTGAGGGTGGGCGAGGCCAAACCTAGAAGACACAAACACAGGAAGGGACACGTGTCAATCAACCAGCACAGACACACCAGAGTGGGTTTCACTTCTCTTATTTTGTACAGAGCTGAACTGAGTTCAGTGGAGCATTAAAATGTTTCACCCTCTAATTATAACCTGCTTTACAGTTTAAACTGCCTCTCAGAGCTGTGGTCATCAAAACTGTCCTGGTTTTATAAACATTTTAATATTTTTTTATATCAGACATTAAAATTATGAAAATTAATATATTTTTAAATTTAAACTATTGAAATTAACGTTAATGTTGTCTCTGTAAAGCAATAACAGAAAATATCATTCAGAATAGAAATAATAATAATCTTAAAAATTAAAACAGACTACATATATTAAAAACAAGATTTGTAAGTATTTATTATAACCAGCACTGTGATAGTTCAGTATGAGATAAGAATTACAGTGAAAGAGCTGCACTGAGAGTCTACTGTAAATAACAGATGTTTATACTGTTAAAATTAACTCAGTAATTAAAGGCAAGTTGAGAGAAATTCACTGAAACATTTATACTTTTATTAACGACAGTTCAGAAACAGACGGTCAATTAAAACTCTCCAAACACAGTAAACACTGATACTGTTAAATAAATAAAACTAATAAATACTAAACATGATGTACAAAACCATCAAGTACATTGATTTTCCAGAATTTATTAAGAGATTATTTATATATAAGAAATAAAAAGCTACTTACGGCCAACTGACAGTTTCGTTCCTCCTCCAAAACTCCACCACAGTGATACAAACTCATTTAGCGTCTGTACAAAAACCTGCTCTAAAGACTCTGCTCTCTCTGTGCTTCACTAACAGCTTTTTCATATCAGTCATTAAATACTGATGAGTTTTATAAGCAGGAGATAAATGTATAAATTCTGAAACCCTGAACATTTGTTTCTTTACTTTTTTAAACTTGTTTGTCTGAACCGAGGTCACACATTATTAGACGTGTTGTCAAATTGCTAACTTGTTTATTAAACTGTGATATCATTGTAAAATATTTACATTTTTGGATTATTTAACTTGATTTAAATTGACCTTTGGATTTAAATAATAATAAATTATTACAAGAACAGAAAACAGAAGAGCTGCTGTGTATAAAATCTTTTTGGTTCTGTTGAGCAACAAAAAATAACATGGATAAATGAACATAAGATGATTTTCTGCTAAAAGAGAGAAAAGTATTTTAATAAAATGTGTATTTTTTACTCCCTGCATGCAGTTTAGTTCCTCCACCAAAAACTCCTGCACTGAGAGACAGACTGACAGCAGTAGCTGCAAAATCCCTCAAGAGAAAGACTGACACACTTTAAACTGAACAATATGAGATCGCCCCCCACTGGACATTAAGAGAATATTACACTGATCTGGAGAGGCAGATTGCTGAGCTGTGAGAAGATCAACTGTGGAGATCAGGAGAGTGAAGATTCTCATATGAATCACAGTAAAAACCTCAAACTGATGATAAACCTCTACAATATACACAATAAAACAGTCTTAAACAGTTTACAGTGTGTTCAGTTCAACACATTTCAGCAACAACAGAAGCTGATAAACAACACATATAAACATTTTCATGCTTCTGTCTGATATTCAGCAGCTCTAAACTGAACCATGAAGAACTCCTTCTGTTTCCATGCTGTTATACTCAATGTCACATGATCACTGCAGCCAATAGAGTCATTTCCATAGAGAGAGCTGACTTTGCATTATCAGCACATGCTTCAGTGCTCTGGGAGAGTTTATAGTCCTGTGAGTTTAACACTTCATGACTGAGAGCTGCTGCCCCACAAACTTCACCCACAGCAGACATGACTTTGACCACCATCTTCATCTGGACTCTGATCTTCTGGACTCAAGGTAACACTCTGTTATACATTAATACTGTTATACAGTGTATGAGTGGCTGATACTAAAAACAATATCATATGTATTTGAGTCACTTTGAATTGTTACCATTTATTTCAGGATCCAGAGGTCAGGCAACTGTGACTCAGACTCCTGCAGTGAAATCTGCTCTTCCAGGAGAAACAGTCACCATCAGCTGTAGAACCAGCCCTGCAGTTTATAGTAACTGTCTAGCCTGGTACTTACAGAAACCTGGAGAAGCTCCTAAACTCCTGATCTACAGTGCTACTAGTTTATGGTCAGGAACTCCACCTCGTTTCAGAGGCAGTGGATCTGGATCTGACTTCACTCTGACCATCAGTGGAGTCCAGACTGAAGATGATGGAGATTATTACTGTCTGGGTGAATTTTACATCAGTAGTATCTCGTCGTCCACACAGTGATACAGAGCCGTACAAAAAGCTGTGAGAGTCAGAGACACAGAGGCTGCACTGCTGCAGCTGAGACCTACTGCAGGTGCTGAGGGGGAGGAAGTGATACAGCACAATCACACACTCTGTGGAGGAGAGGAAACACACCACACTAACACACAACTCAACACACACATCTATAAATAAGCACAAAGCAATAATGCACACAGCATTTCAGCTCCACTTCTATGAGAGGAGTAGTTTAGTGGAGCTGGAGCTCATTCTAGTCCTACTGTTCATGTGTTAGTGGTGTGCATGGATGTAGTGAAGTTTATATGTATGTACACTTAATTTCCATGCCTTTATAAAATTGAAGTGGTGTTTTCTTACCTTTTTTAATTTAATAACTTTCATGTTTACAGTTAATCATTTGTTTTTTGGAATTTCCTAAAAGATCTACTTTCACATATCTTGTTTTCACTGATCACGGTTCTGTACTTTTTAAATATTCTCCCGTTCTGCCCTCTCCTCGTCCCCTCTCCACCGCCCAGTTCAATTCACAAAATATGAAAAGTTCCATAGAGATTTGAAACGAAATGTCTACATTTTCTCATTATCCTTAAAAAGAACCTGCACACGATACTCAACCCCATCCAGGACTGACAATCTAATAACCTGTCAACTACCAGTTTTAGGACAGTGGGCGCTGCAGAGGACATTCAAGTTTCTGAGGGGGCTGGAGTCAAGCCCACCAAAATTACACCACCGCACAAAGTGGACCATCAACGGAACTAGTTCAGAGTTGTGAGAATTGAAAACTCATTGTGGTCTTTTAACTGACTTGGACTTTAGACTAAAATCATTTTCCGTTATGTTTATTTTTTATTATTATTCTATTTTGACACTAACAAAACAATCATAACTCTACAGAAACTTTAACAAATGTTTCAGTGGTGACAATTTTAAATAGTTGCTCTGTTGCATTTATGAGAGTGTCTCACTGCAGCTCACCTGCATTTGCCCAAACCACCTCAACTGGCTCCTCTCAATGTGGAGGAGTAGCGGCTCCTTTTTGAGGATCTACTGTCAAGTAGAGTGTAGTCATTTCCGCCGCTTGTATCTGCCATCTCAATCTTTCGGTCACTATCCAAAGCTCATGACCACAGGTGATGGAGGGGATGTAGACTGACAGATAAACAGAGAGCTTTGCCTTGTGGCTCAGCTCCCTCTTCACCACTACAGTCCAGTACAGTTACTGCATTACTGCTGCCGCCTGTCCCAGCCTGTGGCCGATCTCACCATCCCTCTTCCCATCACTCAACCATGACCCCAAATACTTAAACTCCTCCACCTGGGGCAGGTCCTCCCACCTTACCTGGATTATTTCATAATATACACTCTAAAATCTCTGGACATGGATGTAACCTAATACATTTTTGTGTGCTTGTGCCTCTGGGTCGACTTTTTGCATGCAGGAGGATTTTTTCTATTCTAAAAGATTCTTATATTCTGTTTGTATTATTGTTTCTGTACATTATTGCAGCCACAGAACAGAGTCTGGGACTGATTCTGATGAGACAAGAGCAGAAAAGTGGACTGGTCCACTTTAATGCCTTCTCCAAAAATGAGTCCCACTCTGAACCTGCTGCTGTGAGTTTCCTCACTGGTCATGTTGCTGCTGCAGGATTCCTCTCTGTAAACTGTGATAGAGACCACAGGAGAATCAGCTGGGCTTCATTCAGTGATCCACTCATTACACTGTTTTATACTCACATTTTATCCCTCAGAATCAACACAGAACCTGTTCTTATACAATACCATCCCATCATGATCCATTTCAGACTCCATAAGTCTTTAATCAGCATCATTAGTCTATAAACTGAGTCTCTTTAACATCAGCTTAGTCTATTAAACTCACAGCACTGTGACTCTGACACACTGACAGTCAGCTCAGGACATTAAACTCACATCCTGGAGGGCAGCAGCACTAAAGGAGGAAGTGAAACCAGCCCCCCACCACCCCCCACCCAGCTGAACACAAACAAGCAGTTTAACCAGTAAAACAGTCAGAGAGAGAGAGAGAGAGAGAGAGAGAGAGAGAGAGAGATCAGTGGGGTGAATCTCAGATTTGCATTAACAGGCCTGAGTCGTCCACTTCCTCCCAGAATAGAGCAGCACTTTCAGCAGATGTTCAGCTTCCGTCCTTCTCCTCTTAGCCGTCCACTGTCCAGCGGACCAGCGCGCCCTGTTGAGAGTATCCAGACAGCAGGCAGAGCAGTGAGGCTGACCCCTCAGACAGCTGCAGAGAGGAGGGAGGAGCAGAGACTCAGAGGGCTTCACTGTGGAACCAGCTGGAGACGAGAAACAACAGCACACATGATTAAACACCAACAATTAAACATATTTATTAGTTATTCTTTATGAAGCTCTCTGAGTGTAATTTTTATTTATTTAGTAAAATCAGTTCAGCCCATGTTCTGTTCTCATATTGTTCAAATGAACAGACTTTGTTAAAACAATATTTATATAACTACAGTCATAATAACAGTTTTTACTTTAAATTAATAGATAACCTTTTTGTTGACTCCTTACAGGATAATTAAACCCAACATAATCTGACATCATTTTGTAAGCCAGAGTTCATACTTTACTGTTTAATATAATCTGTATTAAATCATAAAAAGCAGCTGATTGCAGAATAAAGACAGATTGAAAGTCATTATATGGATTTTATACTTTTTTCCTTTCCTTGGATTTCTCATCAACAAAACAAATTAGAGAAACATCAAACTTTCAAACTTCATGAATGAATTAATTAATAAATTATTGAATACATATTAATAACTTTTTGTATTTTTTGAGAAAATACAAGTTGTGGTATTTAATAGTGAACTGTAAATTAAATCATAGTTTGAATCAACGTCCTACAGAATTAGAAATATGAATATCTCACAAAACAAAAATCATTTTCTCATTTTCTAATATGGTCTGTGTTGTCTTGACTGTTTACAGTAGAGATATTTACTAGAGTCATTTCCATAGAGAGAGCTGACTTTGCATTATCAGCACATGCTTCAGTGCTCTGGGAGAGTTTATAGTCCTGTGAGTTTAACACTTCATGACTGAGAGCTGCTGCCCACAAACTTCACCCACAGCAGACATGACTTTGACCACCATCTTCATCTGGACTCTGATCTTCTGGACTCAAGGTAGAACACTGATATACATTTACCTTTATGAAGATAATTTATGAAAACATATTAACACACATATTAATGAGGGGCTTATTTTAAAAATAAGATAATGTGTATTTATGAGTCACCCTGAATTCTTATTATTTATTTCAGGATCCAGAGGTCAGGCGACTGTGACTCAGACTCCTGCAGTGAAATCTGCTCTTCCAGGAGAAACAGTCACCATCAGCTGTAGAACCAGTCACAGAGTGGATGATGGTACTGATCTCTCTTGGTATCTGCAAGAACCTGGAGAAGCTCCTAAACTCTTGATCTACTATATAAGCAGCTTACAGTCAGGAACTCCAGCTCGTTTCAGTGGGAGTGGATCTGGAACTGACTTCACTCTGACCATCAGTGGAGTCCAGACTGAAGATGATGGAGATTATTACTGTCTGGCTCTATTTTACATCAGTAGTAGATACTCGTTCACACAGTGATACAGAGCCGTACAAAAAGCTGTGAGAGTCAGAGACACAGAGGCTGCACTGCTGCAGCTGAGACCTACTGCAGGTGCTGAGGGGGAGGATGTGATACAGCACAATCACACACTCTGTGGAGGAGAGGAAACACACCACACTAACACACAACTCAACACACACATCTATAAATAAGCACAAAGCAATAATGCACACAGCATTTCAGCTTCACTTCTATGAGAGGAGTAGTTCAGTGGAGCTGGAGCTCATTCTAGTCCTACTGTTCATGTTTCTGCCACTCTCTTATTAGATCATAGTTCTAGAAATAATTCTAATATAAAATGTTCTTCTTTAGTTCATGTACATAAAAATACATGTGCACCCTGTTTATTCATAAAAATATTAAGGATTATAAAAAGAATTCAAAGACGTCGTAAAATCCATGATGTACCACGACTATGACTGCCTCAAAACTCTGAACTGTGTATTACTGCATATTTTATTATTACAAAAACCCTTCTGCTGTTAAAGGAATTATCTTTGACTCTAATGCTGCTCGCATGGAGCACCGAGTATATTAATGAAGTAAGAGCCTGTTTTTCTTTAAACTCAGGGACTGAAAACATATTTTCTTACATAGAACTAGGCTGACCAGCTAGCTAACAGGCTAAAAGACAGACAACATACTAAACAACTTTCACTTTAACATCAGAGGCTTGAATTAAAGTACTAACGATATGATTCACTGAAAACGGCAGTATAACGGTCTAAAGAATGTCACCTGAATGGCTAACATGCTTCAAATGTCCATGTTTCAGTCAGAAGTAGCATCAAACCCAGGCTGAGTCCCAAACGGCTCTATACTCCATAGCTAAATAGTGAGCTGTGTAACATTAAGCTTAGAACTTCTAGCTTCTGCTGTAAAATAGTGACTGCCTGTTGAATATGAATGTGGATGAATCCCAAATGACCATTTTTAGGGATATTTTGCTTTGTCGAGATGCAGGAGTCAGTATTTAAATTCCTACATAGTGCACTATGTAGGGAGCATGGAGCCGTTTGAGATTCAACCCATTGTGAGAAGAGTGGCATCATCAAACTGGCAGAAGAAAACTGGTGGCAATTTGGTGACCAAAAAGTACTTATAAACTGAAGGTTTTGCATTAAACAGTACTGTGTTATCATATGATCACTGTTAAAGAAAAAAGTTTTAAAAAATCATGAAATGTCTGCAGTTTACAGTGACTGACAACCAGACGTTCTTCTCTGCATTCAGCGGTCAACAATACCACACTCTAAAGGAACTACAGTTCTTAGTGGATTACTTGTTTATGTCGATTATTATTAATAATAACTTAAAGAATGATCTAAAACATTGTGTATTTTATTCCAAGGTCTGTCCTGCTGGCTATCAGAGCTTTAAAACTCAGCATGGATCCAAGATGAGATCTGATGATTTTTGAGCTAAGAATACTTTAGTTCAACAACTTCTGAAAATACCTCTGAACTGCTGTCTCTCAGATCGTCTGTATGTGTGCAAAAATACTACATTTTAGGAGGAGGTGAGTTTACTTTTGGTACAAAAATGGCCAAATTCCCACCAATTTTAAAATTCTGTTAGAATTTACAACCCAAATAATGACAAATCTGAGGAGCCTAAGGTCTCCATAAAAAACAGCATAAAACGTGTCTCATATAAATACTTTGCAA